TATATGTATATGTAATTACACATAAGCCTCCTTATGAGTCGGTGCGACTTGGATGAAATAGTCTGTAACAGGCCCTCGTTTGTTGTCCTCTTCTCCCTCTTTGTCTACGGTTCACGTGGCAACTCTGTTTGACGATAACGTGTTATCCACGTGGCTGGCCTTGTACGTAAGAGGTGATGAACAGGTGGGGTTTTCCTTCCTTGTTTTCGTTTCTTTGTTTTGCTTTTTTTCGCCTTCGCGCGCTGATTCACAGTGTGTCCTATCTGCCGAGGTGGGGACAGGTAAAGAAAAAAAGAAGAAAAGAAAAAGAGAAAAAAAGAAAAAAAGAGAAAATAAGAAAAAAAGAGAAAATAAGAAAAAAAGAAAACTTTGTTGGTCTGTGGGATGTGTTATTTGCTTTGTGACAATTGGATTATCTTTCTTTCCCTGTCAGGTTTGGTTTCCTCCTCCTTTTCTTTACCTCTTTGCCTTTTGGCTGCGTGCAAGTGGGTCCTTGTGACACACGGGGATGGGGGCAGCCAGCGCTCAACCGGTCATCCACGTGGCTGGCCTTGTACGTAAGAGGTGATGAACAGGTGGGGCTTTCCTTCCTTCCTTCTTTTCCTTTCCTTGTTTTGCTTTTTTCTGCCTTCGCGCTCTGATTTACAGTGTGACAATATATATAGATTAATCTGTATGAATATATCTGTTTGACGATATACATACGTTTGTAATAATTTGGGGCAACTTTCAGTCTAGGTACAGCGATAATGACCGGGGCTTCTATTTGGGCGACGGCGGTAGTATTATCGGTGGATGTACACATATAGGAATGTGGGTATATAGATCAATAGAAGGGCGAGTATATATATTGTACGCAAGAGTTTTTTTTTTTTGTTTTTCTTTTTTTTTTGGTTACGCAAGAGGTTTTGAACAGGAGTCGTAAGTAAGAATGAAAAATGATTTTTTTTGTTTTTCTTTTCCGTTTTTGTGCTCTTGTATCTTTGTGACGATATATGTATATACTACGATACACGGTGTGACGATATATTCTCCCCACATTGCTAGCTCTCTGGTCTTGCAGATGATGCGGCTAGCGTCGGGCCTGTACTAGGTAGCAGGCGCATGCTCTTCCTTTTGGCAGATTTCACCTTCCTTCTCTTGTTTTTTTTTTTTTCCTTTCTTGTTTCTTTTATTTTTTGTCGGCCATTTCTCCCTGATGTGGAATGGCATCCTTTTTTTTTTTTTTTTTTTTTTTGGCATCTGTATATTGCGGGCCCTCTGTTGTGGTTCCGTTTCTTTTACTCTTGAATCTTGATTATATTTGGATTCTTGTGTTCGGTTCTTCAACTCCGTATCTGTTGGTACTGTCGAAAGCTTTATCTGTATCTGTCCTACACGTGAGGTTTGGTGTCCTCCTTTTCTTTACCCCTTTTTTTCCCCTTTTGGCTGCGTGCAAGTGGGTCCTTGTGACACACGGGGATGGGGGCAGCCCCTGCTCAACCTGTCTGTCATTCACTTGGCCGCGGCCTTGTACGTAAGAGGTGATGAGCAGGCGGAGCTTTCCTTCTTTCCTTCTTTCCTTTTTTTTGTTTTGTATTTATGCGCCTTTGCGCTCCGATACACTGTGTGTGACGATATATATCGTTAAATAGAACTGCCTATGGTAAACCGTCGGCAGAGAGGGAGGGAGAAGAGGACAACAAACAAACGAGGGGCTGTGACAAACTGTTTCGTCGGAGTTTCATATGTATATATAAATAGAAACGTGGGTATATAGGGAAATAGAAAGGGGGGTGTGTAATAGGAAAAAGAAAAAAAAAGAAAAAAAAGAAAAAAAAAGAAAAAAAAGAAAAAAAAAAGAAAAGATAAAATCATAGAAATAAAAATATGAGCCAAAACGTATATATAAATAGAAACGTGGGTATATAGGGAAATAGAAGGGGGGGGGTGTAATAGAACAAGAAAGAAAAAGAAAAAAGAAAAAAAAAGAAAAAATAAAATCATAAAAATAAATATATGAGCAAAAAACAATTGGAAAAAAATGAAAGTGAATAAAAGAAAAGAAAAGAAAAGAAAGGAAAAGAAAAGAGAAGAAAAGAAAAGAAAAGGAGGTAGGAAAATAAATATATAAGTGGATAAATGAGATAAATGGAAACCTACGTAGATGCGATGGATGTATGAAGAGAAGGCATAGACGGGGAGGTAGAAGAAGAAGGTAGAGAAATTTCGATCTTGATTTTTGTGTTCATTTTAATATAGTAGTAAATCCGTGTAATATCGTAAATCCAAAAAAAAAAAAAAAAAAAAAAAACCCGGAAATGTAACATGTAAGGATGGACCAAGGAAAATGTCACTTTGATATGTGGGCATATGCGCAAATGATTTTTTTGTTTTTTCCAATTTTAAAAAGAAACTTCGAATCTGTGCGAGAAGAGCAGCGTGCACGCTGGGAAACGCGACCAGCGTGCACGTGAATTTTTTTTTGTTTTGTTTTTTTTTTTTGTTTTTACGTTTTCAGAACTATCGTCTTCACCCGAACAAGACGAGCGGTCATTATCGCTGCATCTAGACTGAAAGTTTTCCCAAATACATCTAGAGTCATTGGGCGTTACGACTTGACGAGGGCGAGACGGAGGGGGAGATAGAAAATAGGCTGGAGGGAGGCAGATGGAGGGGTAGAGAGGGAGGGAGGATCAAGATGGAGGGAGGGGGCGAGAGAAAAAAGGGAGGGAGGGAGGGAGGGGTGAGCGGTCTTGCAGTTGAGCGCAGTGGCGGACGACTTAACGACATGGAGGGGAAGAGAAAGGAGAGGGTATGAA